GGCGCGCGCGCCAGCCCGGCCGACCGCGCGTGTCTGGCCGTGCGCCGCAGTCTCGTCAAGGTACGTCGCGGCTCCGCCCGCCTGATTGATCCCTCGCTAGCTGCGGCGGGCGCGCGCGCCAGCCCGGCCGACCGCGCGTGTCTGGCCGTGCGCCGCAGTCTCGTCAAGGTACGTCGCGGCTCCGCCCGCCTGATTGATCCCTCGCTAGCTGCGGCGGGCGCGCGCGCCAGCCCGGCCGACCGCGCGTGTCTGGCCGTGCGCCGCAGTCTCGTCAAGGTACGTCGCGGCTCCGCCCGCCTGATTGATCCCTCGCTAGCTGCGGCGGGCGCGCGCGCCAGCCCGGCCGACCGCGCGTGTCTGGCCGTGCGCCGCAGTCTCGTCAAGGTACGTCGCGGCTCCGCCCGCCTGATTGATCCCTCGCTAGCTGCGGCGGGCGCGCGCGCCAGCCCGGCCGACCGCGCGTGTCTGGCCGTGCGCCGCAGTCTCGTCAAGGTACGTCGCGGCTCCGCCCGCCTGATTGATCCCTCGCTAGCTGCGGCGGGCGCGCGCGCCAGCCCGGCCGACCGCGCGTGTCTGGCCGTGCGCCGCAGTCTCGTCAAGGTACGTCGCGGCTCCGCCCGCCTGATTGATCCCTCGCTAGCTGCGGCGGGCGCGCGCGCCAGCCCGGCCGACCGCGCGTGTCTGGCCGTGCGCCGCAGTCTCGTCAAGGTACGTCGCGGCTCCGCCCGCCTGATTGATCCCTCGCTAGCTGCGGCTTTTGTTTTTGCTTTTTATTGTGGTTTGCGCATAAATATTGAAAATAAGTCAGATAACTGGGCAAAGAAGGTGAACAAAGAAAAGAGAAAAGGGTGGTTAGCGCCCTTTGCTCCCTGCGCTGGCGTATGGGCAGCCACTTAAGTAGAAACATGATCCGATGTGCAGTAACATGATCATATTTACGCAGGTTGAAAACGAATCGAATGCAGTTATTCAGAAGTCGGTCAAGTTTGTTGAGGAGATCTGCATTCAGGTCGTAGTAGCACACATCAGCATAATCGATAATAGGGAAAACCAAAGTCTGCACCAACATAGCCTTCGTAGCGGGAGGAAGTAAATATCATGTCAACATAACAAAAACAAAATTGACAATCTAAAAAACGTCAGATGACATACACTAATATTATAAATATGAAAATGTGTATTTGTTTGTCCGTATTTGATGGCAAAACGGAGCAGGGAATTGACGCGATTTTTTTTAAGTACATTAGATGTATGAAAAGTAGTGTATATTACTACGTAGGTTACTTTTCATCTCTTTTAACCCCCCATTCTCCCAAAATGGGGGGTGGAAGTATATATGCGGACTATTTGTGGCAAAAATAGTCCGCAACCACTTTGCTTTAAAAGAGCGCGAGCAAAGCCGTGGTCAGAAGCTAGTCCATGAATAAAATATATTCAATTAACTTGAATTCGTATTTTTTTTAAATCCCAGATTCTTGATTTAAATGAAAGTCAATAGTTGAGAATAATAATTTGTATTGTAGAATAATAAACTAACGTAAAATGGATTGAGTGAACTGTATGAGCGTGAGTGCTAATGTGAGTTATGAGAACGCACGGCGGACTTGATTGCTCGATACGAACTGAATCGAATAATTAGGTAAATGAATTACGATGCGGAAAAATGCTGACTTTAAATGTGTACGGTTGCACCGTACATCCCTGATGCATCTAAGATAACTAAATTTTGGAATCTTCGGAGTTATATCAAAACACTAACTACACAAGATAAGTCCTTGAAAATCCACAGTATTTAGTTGTATGTCTGGGCCTGATTTACTATGGAGTTTGTCGGTGTATTTTACGCATTTACGTCTACCGGACGGTAGGTGACGTTCATTAATAATATGAATTGGTCGCGGACAACACGTGCGTCGGTCGCGCTGTCTAAATATACGCGCGTGACGTCACTCGGCCGACCAGTGCAGCCCGCGGCTGTACGGCGTGCAGTACTGCAGTGTCGGGGGCCGGCCAGTCCACCGGCGCAGTGTCGGCCACATACAAAGCGCGTCCCTACAAGGAAGTCGAATGATAGTTGGCAGGGCCGGGCGGGTCGCGGCGGCATCGCGGCTATTTCTGAATCTATGAAAATATTCGTGTCCCATCTTGTTGGCACTCGAGTTGCGTAGAGGCGTAAGACTCGTGTGAATTTCGTTCGAATATAAATCTAGTAACAACTGCCACAACGTTTAATTACGTTTGTATGGGCGCCCTCGCCAGGTTTATATCGTAATAAAATGAAATACAGTGTGCTCGCGATGCGGGCTTAGTTTCCCGGTGAGCACTTCCGCGAGCGAGCGTCACCACTACTGGTCTCATCGACCGCGCACTGACAGCATTCTGACCGTGCACTGACCGCGCGCTGACCGCGCACTGACCGCGCACTGACCGCGCACTGATCGTACAGTGATACGGTGATCGCGTAGTGACCGCACAGTATCACATATTGGTGACTATTATAGGCCTGTATTACCTGAACTATTAAGGGTTCTAATAGTTGTATTATAGCCGGTGGTGATACGTAAATAGTAATATTTATGCATGTTACCTACTTATTATGTAGCTGTAGTCATATGTAATGTCTGTTACGAGCGGGTAATGTAAACTAAACGTTGGCAGGAATGTTGCATTGTTACCTCTTTGTTATATTGAATATTTAGGACAAGATAAGGAAGAGATGGAAATTCAGTCTCGAGTATGGAGTCACACGTGTGTTGTACTGCCCCACTCTCGGAATATATGAAAGTGAAGAACGGTGTGCATCTGTAGAAGTACTTTACAGTGTAACGTGTTGGTGTACAGGCTCGCGAGGAGGAACTGGCCAGCAAGCTGCGGGACATGGAGGTGCTGCGCCAGGCGGGGGCGCTGCCCGCGGGCGGGGCAGACTTACAGGCCGAGCTGCAACAGGTACGTACAGCGCGGCGCCGCGCGGGCCGGCGCGGGCCGGCGCGGGCCGCGCGGCG